TTTTGCAAAATAGAGCAGAGGAAGCTATCTATGAGGCTATTAAGAATGGAATCCCAGATATTGTGATTGAAATTGAACCCACTGAAAATCGATTGTGGACCAGCGCTAGCACTCATTATAAAGTTTTAATAACCATGGTTGCATATGCTATAGAACATCGTCAAGAGGAAGTGGCAAAATATCTTTATAAATATAGGGCAGATATATTTTATGACATTGATGAAGATGGAAACAATAACTTACATCTAGCAGCAAAGTTAGCGCCTCATTTTCAACTAGATCGCATCTCTGGTGCAGCTTTGCAGTTGCAAAGTGAATTACGCTGGTTTAAGGTAATCCTTGTTTAATTTGTATTTTTATATTTTTTTTTCTAATTAACTGGTAATTCCTTATTTCGTATACTATGCGATTATCAAATTATTTTATAAAAATAACACATCATTCTTAGAAAATTGAAAAAGTTTGTTCAATTAAGATAATTAACCCTATTGATTTTTTAATTTTTTATGAGATAAAAATTTATGTCACATTTTATCTCAGACGATCTGATTTCATAAATTTTGATTTATTATTATTTTCTCACTTAACGAATGCAGTCTGTGGAAGCAATTGTTCCACGGTTCTACACCGAACAGAAAAATAAAAATGGTGAAACTCCTTACCAAGTGTTTGTTAAAGAACACAAGAACTTGTTAAAAGAAGCTGAAGAATGGATGAAGAGAACTGCTGAATCTTCTACAGTCGTAGGTGCTCTTATTATCACTATTATGTTTGCTGCGGCTTTTACTGTTCCAGGTGGGAACGATCAAAATACAGGCTTCCCCATATTTTTGAATACAACGGAACCGGCGGAATCTTCTACGGTTACACCGTTTAAGGTATTCATAGTATCAGATGCAGTTTCCCTTTTTACTGCATCCAGTTCAGTGTTCATGTTTTTGGGGATTCTCACTTCACGTTACGCTTATGAAGATTTTCTTATATCCTTGCCCATGAAGTTGATTTTTGGTCTTTTTTCACTCTTCATCTCTATTGCAACATTGACAGTAGCATTTTGTGCTACTCTTTACGTGATGCTACGAGGTCAACGGAAGGAAGTCATTCCAATAACTGTGCTTGCTGGTATTCCTATCATGTGCTTTGCGTTTATGCAGTTTCGTCTTCTTGTTGAGATTGCTGCTTTAACTCTTAGGCCAGACATCTTTGGTAGAAAAACTGCAACAACACGGTTGTTTGAATGGCTGGGCGATAATATTCCCATCATTCCATCTGTGGTAGACGTAGTGATCGATGGACCGATCGAAAGACTGATCGGTGGACTGACGGACAGACGGATCGATGTACTGACCCGATCGATCAGCTATCTAAGACGCAGAAACGGATAGTCATGGTTAAGTGTATTTTTTGTTTTTTTAGCTATGTTTTGATTTGGCTTGGATTGTTGGTGCTTTCTGGTAATGTGTTATTGAGACTTTGAGTGGAGTATTACTTCTATTT